CGTGGCTGGCGCCTTAGCCGGTTGAGCTACAGGCGCCGAGCCTATTCGAGCATTTTTAAGTGCACACCTCAGCGTATTAAGGGCTTTCACAGTGACTACTACCCTCACCTCCGTCCATCTTCGTAACTTTTCCTTCTTCTTCAACTGAAACTCTGTGCTATAACTCCCCCTCTCCTCCCTGGCCCGGCAGCCCCTGCTCTGCTTTCCATGTGATGGATCTGTCGACTCTGGGGACCTTGTATGAGCGCGTCCTGCCGGGTTTGTCCTTCTGTGGCTGGCTGTTTCACTGAGCACTGTCCTCAGAGCTCATCCGTGTTATGGCATGTGTGAGAATTCTGTTCCGTTCCTGTTAGGGCTGAATCATTCTGTTTATCCATCCATCTGTCGATGCACACTTGGGTTGCTCCTGCCCTTTGGCTAGTGCAGAGAACTCTCCTGCTAACGCAGTGTGCACGAGCTGGTTGATTGCAATATACGAAGCTCTAACCAGCCTTTTTGTGGCTAATGGTATCTCCCAACAGGTCACTTTGGCTTTGTGGGCTATCACATGCTAGTAGTGGGTGTTGTACCAGCCTGCCCAGAAGTCACACTTTGTAGGATTCCAAAGATAGTGTCCAGTGCTGGGCAATGTGGGTCCAGTGATTTGCAGGGTGGAGGCTGAGCGCATGTGGCCTTGCAGGAGTAGCTATGGCTGACCTTGGTGGAGACTCTGCCTCTCTGGTGAGGCACCCCAAGAACAAGGGCAGGGAGTGTGGTCTCAGTTGGAGGAGACCCCTGCCCAGGCCCTGGGGTAGGTCTGAGGGGACCTGAGAGAGGCAGACAGAGCCTGATGGGCATACCCACATGCCATCCCATCCCAGTCCTGCCAAGAGGCTGGGGCGTGGTGGCCGCTGCAAATGACCCCTGTGAGGAGGCCTGCGGTTCTCGTCAGGGCACGTAGCACACCTGCCCAGATGTCCCTGCTGCCGGTCACCTGCATCACCTGGGTTTGGTTTCTAGTTTTCCTACCTCTCCTTTCAACTTGAACGTTGACAGTGGCGACAACCAGAGCACTCCGAGTTCTCTGGGATTTCTCCACACTGAGCCCCTGTGAAGACCTCGGTCCCCCCAGACTGTCCTTGGGTTCATGCATGTGCTCAGTGAGCACCCAGCACTATTCTATTTCTGTTCTGAGAAGGGCTGGCAGAGCTGCCATGTCCCCTGGGTGGGGCCTCGCAGACCAATGTGCTTCTGCAAAAGCCACCCGGGAGGAATGGCAGTTGGAAATGAGATCACATCAGGCTTAGCTTTTGTACAGGGACACATGAGCAGGTTGGATCTGAGATAGCCTAGAGTGAATTTAGGGCCTTGTGAACCAGAGCCGATCAGTTACTAAGAGAAATGTTCTTGGTCAAATTATAAAAGTAAATGTTAACTAAGTTCACCATGCAAGGTTAGGTGATGGCTTAAACCCCGAAGTGTGCTCCAGACACCAAGGTAACGGCTTTTTCCCCCACCCCAGCCTTCCTCCTTTGTCCCCTGACATCTCCCCAGACACCCCCAACTGGGCACACAGACACTGTCCACCGAGCCCACAGTGCCGGCAGTGTCCCAGTGGGGCAGGAGCTGTGCCCTTGAGGAGCCTAGGTCCTCCAGCCTCCCAGTGGGGGCCTGGCTGGGGATAGGCTTGGCCCAAGCTGCCAGGGCACCTACACCCACCCTCTCCCACGGGGAGACTGTTTTATTTATTTATTTATTTATTTATTTGTATTTTCAGAAAGAGCATCCCCAGACAGTCTGCCCTGCTTGATTGATGCTGGGGGTGGAAGCTTTTCACAGTCCTTGGCCTTTGACCTTGCTTCCTGAGGGCAGCAACAGTGGTTTCTGGCAGGCCTGCTAGGGGGGCTGCGCGGGCATGTGCTGACTGCACCTCCCCAGAGCCGGGTTTTGTAAACATTTGGAGCCACTTCCCAGGTTAACTACTGGGGATGTTTTCTGCTGGCTTGTTCTGATAAGCCTATAACCAAGCCTTATTTCCACTGGTAACACAGGCTGATCCACTCTAGGAGGTTAAAATAAAACACGCTGGGGCTACACAGTGGACAGCAGGCACTGCCCCATCTCAGACTCTGCCCCTCGTCCTGAGCAGCCAACACCAGGCCCTCACGAGCTGGGCTGATGGGCATTTACAGACAGAAAGGGAGGATGGACACACAGATGGGACCAGGCGCCCCTCAGAGCTCCCATCTGGGCCCTGCCCACGTGCCTGGCCACAACTGCCAGGATGGTGGAAGTTGGCATCAGGAAGTGGGCCCTGCAGCCTGCTAGCGGAGGAGGGCTGGAGCCCCTTTCTCGGCACAGCCTTGATCTCCAGTGGTGGATTAAGCGAGTTAGCAGTTAAAGCAGTTAATTGCTGTGCAGGGGGCCCTGGCTCATTGTTTGTCTGTGAATCACCCGCCCACACCAGGTGTCTCAGATAATAGACTGGGAACCTCAACGAGGAGGATTTCCTGTCTGCAGATGTGCCGATTACAGCGCTGAGTGAAGACAGTCAGCCTGCGCTATACTGGATTTGCCCGCTGAGTTAACCACTTGTGGCCTGAATCCCCAGGTTGGGCATGTGAGCAGGCGCAGTCTAGTGTAGAGGCTTCTGGGCTCCAGCTGAGGTCAGATTCAGCTTTAAAAAATGGACAGAGGGCATCTGCATCAATAGCCATGGGACACCAGGCTGAGACTGTCATGTGTCCCTGGGCATCCCAGCCCCCTGCATGTTTCTCTGTTCCTCTTCTTGGGGTACTGACAAGGAGTCTAGTGCATCTGTGCCTGTGCCACGGGAGGCCTCTCCATGGTTGGGAGAGCTGGCACGCAGGAGGGGCCTCTCTAGGCTTGGGTGCCTGCAGCCCTGATGGCCACCATTCCTACCAACTGAGGGCTGGGAGGGCAGTCCCAGCTTACCTGGCCTCCATGGTGTAGTAGGTGACCCTGGGGAACAGCCAACCCAAATCTTTTTTGTTTGTTTGTTTGAGACAGAGCCTCAAGCTGTCCCCCTGGGTAGAGTGCTGTGGCATCCCAGCTCACAGCAACCTCCAACTCCTGGGCTCAAGTGAGTCTTCTGCCTCCGCCTCCCAAGTAGCTGGGACCACAGACGCCCACCACAACGCCTGGCTATTTTTTTTCAGTTGCAGCCATCATTGTTGTTTGGCGCGCCCAGGCTGGATTCGAACCCGCCACCTTAGGTGTATGTGGCTGGCGCCTTAAGCCACTTGAGCCACAGGCGCCAAGCCAGCCAACCCAAATCTTACCCCAGCCACTGGAGCTATTTTCTTTTCTTTGGAAAAGGACATTTTTCTGCAGACAGCTCCGCCTGTGTGCAAACTGGCTTCTCAGCCTCTTGGGCAGTGTGGGGCCAGCTCTCCTGCCCTGGAGCTCAGCTTCCCAACTTTCATAGGACATCAGGCAGAGGCCCCCACTGGGAGGGTGTGCCTGGTACCCAGGCAGGGAGCAGGTCAGCCCAGGGAGAGCTATAGCCCAGCTCTTCTCTCCCACCAGGGGCTGCTGACTCAAGGTCACACAGCTGCAACCATCTTTGGTCAGCTGTGTTCTGCTGAGCTGCCCCCCACAGACATAGCCCACTGTGTCTTCCTGGTGGGGACTCAGAGGTGACCTGGCCTGCCTCACCCAGGGGAGTGGCTGGGCTTGAGCAGGAGTTGTGGGTCACAAGTGCCTTTCTGTTTTAGTGCGGTTTTGAAGTTTGTGATTATCAACATCAAGAGAGGCCCAAAGGCCGGGCCTGTGATCCCAGCACTTTGGGAGGCCAAGAGGGAAGGATCGCCCAGAGTTTGAGGCCAGCCTGGATAATATAGTGAGACGTTCCATCTCTAGAAAAATGAAAAAAATCAGCTGGGCATGGTGGCGTGTACCCATAGTCCCAGCTAGTCAGAAGGCAGGGGAGGTAGGAGTCTTTGAGGCCAGCGGTTCAAGGCTATAGCAGCTGTGATCACAGCACTGTACTCCAGCCTGGGCAAACAGAATAAGA